CTTTTCTCATTGCCTCTCAAGCCATCAATCCATGTTTACAAAAAATCTGCCACCCTCACGCTCATTGCACGTACCTGGGACCAAACCGGCACAGTTGTACATGCCAAGAAGGCTACCGCGGGGATGGCCAAGTGTGCTTGCCGGTGGACCCCTGCCAAGCTAACTTCGGAAACTGCCCTATGAAGTCAACGGTGTGCAAGTACGATGGGCCTGGACAGGTGAGCAAATGATGCAGGGAACTGATGTATCTAGAAGCTAAACAGCCCATCGAAGATAAAATCATACCATAGGTATCATCAGTCTTCTATACCATCCCAATTTGCCTTTCCAGTGCTCGGTTTGGGCTTCCTCTCTAGACAGGCCTCCAGGTGCTCAGGGCCTGACTGCAGTGCCCACGCCCACCCCGTCTGTCCTCTGAACTCACACTTTCCCAGCTCCCCCGTCAAAACTTAACTGTCTTATGTTCTCTCCTATCACAGTCCTGTATGATAACTGGTAATTCAAAATTAGATTAACAAATGCACTGTTAACCCAGTCTTGGGTGAATATATGATTGACTTTCACCCCAAATCCTCCATTCTCTATAATGTCTTTTTAAGTTAAGAGGGGCTTTTAGAACAAAAAATACCCCATTCCAAGGGGATGAAAACTGAGACTATGTCGGGCAGCACTGAGAGATTGTAGGGAATTGTGAGAACATCCTAGGGTGAGACACTGCCCATCTGAATCACATCATGACCTTGATTGATAAAAATCAGTCTGGTCAGAGACCCATGCTAAGGAGTTAGGTTGAAAGAGCCCATCCCTAATATTGCCTTCATCCATCAAGTGTTTAGTGGATGCCTACCCTGTCCATGACTGCACAGCAAGTCTTCAGTGGAGGGAATCTATCCATACAGTAGGATATTGCAGCACGGATAGGAGGAAAGGCTCAGTGCCCAACCCAAATAGCTGTGGGTCCCTGCAGTCTTATCAGCACCCTGATGGGAATGTTCCTGGAATTCCCTGCTGAAAATCTGCCCAGTCTCACCTCCAAGGAGAAAGAGTATATCATGCAACATTTCTGCTATCAATTTCTGAGGCAGGTGTGTAGACAAATTCGAGGGGCTAAATCCCCAATCTCAAAATGAGGGTCTTTGTGGGAAAATACATTATGCCATGAATGCCAGGGCCTTGAGAGAAAAATTTAAATACACTTTGTCTCATCAAAAATGGATCCCACAGCAGATTTTCAAGTCTTAGAAACCCTCCATTGTTCACACAGAAGCAGGGCATTGCATTATTCCAGAGCAGATTCTCCACCTTGGCATTATAAACATTTGGACTGGATAATTCTTTGTTGGAGGAGGGAGCTGTCCTGTGCACTGTGGATGTTTAACAGCACCCTTGGCCTGTAGTAGCGCCTCCCTTCTCCCACTGTGACAACCAAAATTATCTCCAGATATTGTCTAGTGTCCCCTGGGCTGGGACCCCCAGTTGAAAACCACTATTCTAGGGCCATACTACCTTTCATCTGAACACCAATCTCTGCTTCCCTATAGACAATCTAAAACCAGGATTATGGAGCCAGAGAGGTCAAGGTTTAGGAAACAAGAAAACTTAAAAGCTAAACTTGACAAACAAGGGTTATGAGCGTCCCAACAGGTGAGATATATGAACATGATGTCCTCTTCTGGATACTTCGACAAATTTTCAGTTTAAGCCCACACTTCAGACTTATTCTGAGCTAGTTTTATTGGAGAATAAAAACATGAGTGAAAGAAGAAAGCCAGCAGAAGTGACTAACTAGCATCCTATTTGTTTTTCTTTCCCTGTCTACTGAAGTCTCACTGTGAGTGTAAGGATCACTACCACAATTTCGTACCTGGAGTGGGGTGCAGTTTAACCAATATCTGTGAATCAAATAACCCGTGTCACAGGAACGCAAACTGTACCACCATCGCACCAGGACAAACCGAGTAAGTCTTTTCCATTCCACTGCCTACTTGTCCAGGGGATGAAAGTGGTGGCCAGTCAGTGCTGTAAGTTCCTTGAAGGGGAGGAAATGTGTCTCATTCAGCCCTGTATCCACCACCACCTGACAAAGTAGGAGCAAGGATCATAGTGGGTACTGGACAAATCTTTCTTTAATCAGCAAACCACTCAACAATCATTTCCTACATAATGATCATTAGAACATTCTGGAACATTGATTTGCCTGATAGCTTGGTGTGAAGTGGTCAGAATGTGGGAAAGGAAACCACTGCGACTGGGAAAACAAATGGTTGTTGAGATTACAGGGGTGTAACCTCTGATGTACAGGCCTGTTTCCTCACTCGTGAAATATTACTTGTTGGTGCAAAACAAGACTCAGGAAAGCGAGTAAGCACTAGGGGTGTTTCCTTTGACTCCAGGTGAAAAAAGAAGGGGCTCACTGTGAACAAAAACATGTGTGTGAAAACTCCTGAGACAGAGGCAGCTCTCTTGCTAGGAAGGAGACGGATTTGGAGTTTAGAGACGTGGGTTGACCTACCAGATACATGACCTTGGGAAAGCGGCACCGTCTTGCCAGCCTGTTTCTCCACATACAAAATGAGCATGATGATAAGGTTGTTGTGACAATTACGTGAGAGAGTTTTTCTAGAAACTGCTGTGCAGATGTACTCTATGTTCATTAGTGACCAAATTGAACCTAGAACCCAAGTCTTTTGACTCCCAAGGCAAAGTTTTTATCTGTGTGCTACTTGCCGTTCTCTTGTCATCAGCATCTGCAAAGGACTCATACTGCCGCCGCGAGCTCAAACCCATGATCAGCATTGAACCATGCAATTATAAAGCAGTTTCTGTGCTTACAGAGCACCCTTCTATATTTTTGAAGTGCGTGCCCTTTAGTGTTAGGTTTTCAGGGTATAGATTTGCCCAGATGGGTTTTATGATCATAATGTTCTATTGGGACAAATACGTAGATCTGTACTCACTGTGGATGGAGTGGAAAGAGCTTGGGTATCAGAACACACAAGTTCAAATCCTGGGTCTGCCACTTACCTTACCTGCTCTGAACTGAGGCTGAGAGTTGCACCTTCCACCGGGGTTGTGATGAGGATTAAATGGATATGTTTGTTAATCCATGAGCAGAACCTGATATACAGAAATCACGCGATGCATGTGAGTACACACACAGACACACCACAGCCATGCGTTTAGGCACATAGGCACCTAACACACACATGCATATAGGCATGTCCTCTCCTCAAACATAGATTCTGGTAATACTGATAACCAAACAAGCCAGGGTACACATTTTTTAACATCCTCTGAGTAAGTCTGAGTAGAGTACCTTAAGCAATTTCTTTCCTTTGTGTTTGAGAAGATAAAAATCTAAAAATGAAACGGGAACATCAGAATAGTATAGCTATATCCACACTTGGGTTTAGAATGGCCGTGAAACTAACAGTGGATTTTAGGGCTACATGTATCACTCACACACCTTCTTTCCTCCCCCGTCATATTGACTGTTTTCAGTTGGAAAGAAGAATAGGTATAAAAGTTGGCTACATTACATTGATAAAATACGAAGCCATTGATCCTCATATAATTCAGTTTATCTAGGATAAAGATTTATTTCGTTTATGTCTCTTCAGTGTGGTTAGTAGTTTATGCAGATTCTTCGAAATCGTGCTGCATTAGTCACAGAAGGCCACCTGATTGAGAAGGATGAGCTCAAATGTGGGCTCTGCCACTCACCGCTGGGGTGACCTTGGACAAGTCTACACTTTTCTGATCCACAGTTCCCTCACCTGTTAAGGGAACTGGAGACCAAGAATATCTCCCTGTGAAAGGCTGGGAGCTGATGTACATAAACATGCTTTTAAACTCTAAGCTCCATTTTGATTCTTGCTAAGAGGAAAAAATAGCTTCATGCCTATTAAAGTTATGCCTTTTTATTTTTACTTATTAGTAGATGTAGAAAGTAAGGAGGAAGAGAAGAGCATTTCTCTCTTATTTAATTCAACTCGGCTGAAAAAGAGACCAGCCATGACTAAGCAGGCATGTTGGAAAACACATGGTTTACATTCCACAAAAGTACAATAAACAACAGTAAATTGTAGAGACTCTTGGAACACCAGTGACATCGATGATACTCAGTGTTTGTATAAGACTTGTACAGGTTAGGATGTCCTTTATGTGAGTTATCTTTCCAAGAATCCTGTCTAAGGCAACTCGGTGCAGTAGCAAGAGGCTTTCCCAGATGGATCTAGTTTTAAATCCCAGGTCAGCCACTGCCAGATGTGTTTCCAGCAATTCAACCTTTAGACCCTTAGTTTCCTTTAACAGAGGCCCCTGCCCTGGGCACAGCATTTCAGAGAATCTCACTCTGGCCCTCTCCTGGCTACACCAGGGTAAAGAGTCTGAAGGACCAAAGGACATGCCCTCCCAGAGCCTTAAAGCAATTAGAGTACATTAATAGTATTGAGAACCCCATAATTTCCTGCCCGAATGGCTCCAAACCAGCTTCCAGGGCCTGGACCACCCCCGCCAGGGTATGGCCACGATGTGGCTGCTCACAGCAGGTGGAGGATGAGCCACCTCTACCCCACTCACGAACGCATCTTTGGCTCAGGTTCTACTGAACTACTTACTGTTTGTCTTAGTCCATTTGGGCTGCTATAACAAAGTACCTTGACCCGGGTAGCTTACAAACAACAAAAATTTGTTTCTCACAGTTCTGGAGGCCAGAAGTCTGAGATCAAGGTGCCAGCATGGTCAGGTTCTGGTGAGGGCTGTCTTCCGGGTTGCAGAGAACTGCCTTCTTGTTGTATCCTCATGTGGCAGAAAGAGGACTAGAGAGCTCTCTAGGGTCTCTTTTATAAGGGCACGAATGCCATTCACGAGGGCTCCAACATGAGGACCTAATAACCACTTCCCAAAGACCCCATCTCCAAATACCATCACCTTGGGTGTTAGGACTTCAACAAATGAATTTGGGGGGCACACAAACATTCAGTCCATTGCACTGCTCTTCAAACATGCCAGGGTATTACCAACTCTGGGACTTCACAGATGCTCTTCCTTCTACTTAGAACATCCCTGCCCCCTCCCCCTGGCCTCCATCCACCTCTTCTGAGTCAGGATAACACCCTGATCCTTCAATGCTCAGTTCAACTATTGCCTCCCCTGTCCTCCCAGGCCACTCTGATGACCCTCCCTCTGGGCTCCTAGAGCACCCTGAATGCTTCTCTGAGGATTTATGGCCCAGAACTGTGATGAGTACATAGCACAGTGGTGGTGAGCACGGGCATTGCCACTTACAGACTGTGTGATCTTCAGTAAGATACTTAACCTCTCTGTGGCTCAGTTTCTAAAATGGGTTAATAACAGGACCCCCTTCATAGGGTTGTTGTATTAAACGAGATACCATAGCAAGGTTCTTACAAGAATACCTGTCATAAGAGCTATTAATAAATGCCAGCTATTATTATCATTACTGACCTCAATCCCCAACTAGAATAGAAAGTTCTCTGAGGTCCACATCTTATTCATCTTTGTTGCAACAGCTCCTGTCACCAATGAAAATGGTGAAATGAGTGAGAATTTGGAGGAATAAATGTATCAATGAAGGAATGATACGAATCGGTGAAGGAATGAAGGAAGCAACTATACTAAGAATTTATGGACACCCTATAAACTAACTAAATCTCATCCAGCTCTAAATATAATTAATTTGAACACAAAAATTATGAATTGCAAATGGCTTATAGGTGTTTTTAAAGCATTAAGTCAGCAAGAGACCTTTACTCCTAATAAAAAACCAATTTACAAAAAATGCAATCCTGTGAATGTACCATGGCTCAACTGAGAACAGTTAAGTCAGAATGTTTTCATAAAGTCTCAGACTTTGGACCAAGATTTGTAATGAAAGTTAAAAATACTGATGTCTCATATATTCCACTCAGCACTGAGGCTATTAAAATACAATTCTCCTGCAACCCTTGGGAAAGATAGGCCTAGTCGCTTTACACAAAACAGACCATTGGCCTCCTACCAACTTAAGGAAATTTTAAAGAGAAACATACTTAGTGGTTTGTAAAGGTTACCTGTCTTGCTGTCAGCAGTTCTCTTTAGATGAAACTTGTGTAAGTTATAGCAGGATTAATTTTCAGCAACGACTATTGTATCACTTTCCAGAGTCACCAATCTCCCCCTCTCCCTCCTTAAATTAGCAGAGCACTGTACTTGCAGAAGTCGACAGTTAAGTAGGAAAGTGTTATTTGATTGCATTAAATAGACTATTGTTTCGTGGTTAGATCTATCTTAGTGATTCCTTATAACAAGGTTTCTCACCCTCAGCTCTGCTGGCATTTTGGGGCAAACAGTTCTTTGTCGTTGGGGGGAGCTGGCCTGTGCACTGGAGATGTTTAGCAGCATCACGGGCTTCTACTTACTAGATGCTAGTAGATCCCCATCCCAGTTAAGACAACCCAAGATGTCTCTAGACATTGCCAAATGTCCCCTAGGGGACAAAATTGCCCCCAGTTGAGAGCCATTGTTTTATAAGAAACCCAAAGGCTCCATCAGTAAATGATCTTCCAGTCATTTGTCTGGCAGCAAAACTCATATGTATCCTTCTAGTATTAGCTAAAATGTTGCTTTCTCCTAGAAGCTGTCCCCCATTTCTCCAGGAATAATTAGTCATTTCCTCCTTCATGCCCCAGAGCATCCTATTCTTCTATCACGGCACTTACTATGGAGCTTCAATTACCTATTAACGGACTGTCCTTCTATATCCCAGCATCTCTAGGACACTAGAGGTCACCACCTCCATCATCATGGCAAAAGCCTTGTCCTTGTCATCATCATCATCTGCCAAGCATTGAGCTTTTCCTATGTGTCTGTCACTACGCTGTTTTTCTTTCGTTATCTCTTCCAGCAACAGTCCTAAAGGTGCTATTAAACTCATGTTATAGATGGGGAAACTGGGATTTAAGGAGGTTAAATGGCCTTATCATGTTGCTATAGTTATTTGTTTTCAGATTCATCTCGATGTGAGACTCTAAAGGGCAAAGCGTCTGTTACTATCATCTTTATAGCTCTCTTACCTAGACGTTTCCTAGAATTAAGTAGGTACTCGGAAAGTCATCAGCTAAACAATTCGGCACTGTCCCAGCTGCTGGGATACGCTGATGAATGAGGTGAGGTCCGTGTTCTAGGAGAGCACCCATCTAGCAGAAGAGACAATGTCTCAAGATGCAACTCCGGTGAGTCGGGTTGTGATGGCGGTACCGACAGGATGACTTCCGGCAGCGCTCAACGCAGCCGGGGGAAAGTCAGGAGGTCAGCCAGGGATCCCGGGAGCAGGTCACACCTGAGAGATAAGGCGAGGGTGGGAGAGCACTCCTGGCAGGGCAGACGGCCTGAGAAACGCATACCACGCTAAAGAAAAAGAAGAGTTTGGTGCTGCTGGAATTTCAGCGGGCGGCAGGAAGAAGACAGAGCAGGACCCCGCTGCTTACCCGTTACCGTGCAGGTGAAAGGAGTCGGTGAGAGCCGTCAGCACACAGGTGCCAGATTTCCCTCTTGGAGGATCACTCAGGAGATTATGTGAAGGACCGATCTGAGGGACAAAGACAGGAGGAAGCCACTGCGGCAACCCAGGCAGAGGGTGATGGCGCCCTGAGAGGTCTGTGCAACAAACTTGTTGAAAATATATCTATTTGCGGTGGGGCCGTGTTTAGAAACACAACTGGATTAATGAGTGTATAGTTACTCTTTGGAAAGCTCCCCGCAAGGTGAGTCACAGCTGTGGCACGGGGTGAGGGCGGCTCCCGACGTCTCTCCTCTCTGAAGTTTCCTTCCCCTACCTCCTTTTGGTGCCTCGCTCATCTCCAGGATCCTGGTGAATGTCACCTTCCTAATCGCCTTGTCAATTTCTGCCAGCTGTCAACTCTGTGCCGGGTAGTCACGGGCTGCTACAGCCAGGGCTTACTGACTCACAAGCTCTAAGTGGTGAATTTTCAGGAATTTTGCAAGCGAGTCGGCATCATGTTGATCAGCTTGAAATTAGCCACAGTGAGAGTATGAACCACAGAAATTGGCAAATACTACGAATTAGGACGTTATCTTCCCCCCTGGAGAGCTGGTTGTTAAACCTTTACCAGCACACCACTACTAGTGCACCTCTGTTCCTCTCTTATGAAACTAAACTATTGCATAAAATTTCTGTGACTTTCATTGTTTACATATTTATTGTATTGTTTATACATTTATTTCATTGTTTATATTATTTAATTTAATTACTACTTATTGCACAACTATTAATTAAGCACCTCCTACGCACTGAGTCCTGTGCTAGATTCTCGGGTTCCAGCAGTGAGCAAACACACACATAGCCCCCTTGCCCTCACTCTTTTCTCAAATTTGATAGGGAAGCAGATATTAATCAAATAACCACACAGGTCAGGATAAAATTACAGCCATGATAGCTGCCATAGAGAAGAGCTGCAGACACCGTGAGAGTACACATAACAGGACATGATTTACAGTGAGGGAACAGAGAAGGAGGCATGCAATCAAGGAAGACTTCCCGAAGGAAACAGCAGTTGAGCAGAGATCACAGATAGGCAGGGGAAGGGAGGAGAAAAGTATTCCAAGTAGATGCACAATTCTGACTCTTCACTGTGCTGTGGGCCGGTTTCAGCAGCTTGTTCTGATTAGTCATTCAGCAGTGGAGCCTTAGAATCTGCATTTATACATACTAAGCGCTCCAGGTGATTCTGATATGCATCGTCTCTAGATCACACTTTGAAAAGTACTGAGACAAAGAGCATACAGAGATATCCAGTGTTTATAGAGACACACGGTTTATTAGATATCCATTTCTTGAGAGCCTACGAGATGTCAGGTGCTATTCTAGGAATGCTTACTTGTGTTTGTGCCTCTCTTCTGTTTTATCGTGGGCATCTTTTGCTTCATCTGTTAAATGATGACATCGGACTGTATGATCTCAATGTTCAACGGCTCTGAGCCCCTGAGAATGTGTTTTCACTCTCTCTGTAGATGCACTTGCCAGAAAGGTTATGTGGGCGATGGCTCAACATGTTATGGGAACATCATGGAGCGACTCAGAGAATTAAACACTGAACCCGGAGGACAATGGCAAGGGAGGCTGACCTCTTTCATCTCGCTCCTGGGTACGCAGCTACGGGTACAGATTTCTGCATAAAAGGCAGCCCTCTTCCATGCAACGGCAACTGCAAGGCACAATTATTTGGAAAGGGAAGGGCTTGTCTATTGGGATCAGCCCTTTTAGGGAGAGGCCACACAAGTGAGAGGGAAAGGGCGGGCAGCTGTTTCCAAGAAGACAAGCAGGAGTTAGTGCCAAGAGATTTAGCAGTGCAAGAATTAGTAGGCAGAGAGCTGAGGACAGGGTCCTGGGGTCACCCTGGATTAACGGACCCGCAATAGCAGTAAGACAAGGACAGCTATTGATGTGAGGATGGAGACCATGCCCCTTCCCCTTGACCTTACAGGTCCTTCAGGTATGAACAAAGCTTAGCAGGTAATACTGTAAATAAAGTGTGACTGAGACCCCAAGGCAGCATCCATGTTCTTCAGAGGAGGTGTCGTTTGAATTTTGGGCTACTTTTTGTTGTGTGCAACCATCTCAGCACCCTTGGTCTGCTAGCCACTAACTGCCTGTGATGACACATCCTCCCCCAACCTCCAGGCAGGGTGACAGCCTAAAACACCCTCATACATTTGCAAACACCTCTAGAGGCCATTACTCCACACCCCCTTGAGAATGAAATATTATAACTGATCACAGTATTGGACAGGACTTCTAATGAAACACAAATTTGGCCAATCTTCAAAAAATAAAACACAGATTTGGCCAATCAAGAGAAGCCTTAAAATATCAGCATTTATATTAGAATTTAGCAGTCACCAAAAATGATTTCCCAGAAAGAACACAAAGAAGTAAGTGTCATTGATGGGTCAATGCTGTGTTCTCCACATGAATCTTAACACACATCCTGCATGAATACCCCGCTCTTCCCAAGGCATCCCATGGGGAGTCAAGCATTACTGGCATGCCTTGGTCTCGGGGGCAATCTGCCAGGCTCTCATAGCCTTCCTCCAAGAACTCTCAGAATATCAAATGGGAGCGATGGTAGTGAGGGGGTGTCTTGGGCAGACTGGGCCCTCAAATGCTTTCCTGAACAGAGTTCTGTTGACCTTTTACCATCCCCATCACAAAATCCTGGTACACGTTGCCTCCTGCACAAGAACACAGAGCCTGTCCTGCCGTCCCATTTTCCCCAGGATGATGGAAACAGAACTGGCTACGTACTTTGTGGGGCCCAGTGCAAGATGAAAATGTGGGGTGCTTTGTTCAAAAATTATTAAGCATTTCAAGATGGTAACAGCAGAGCATGAAACCAACCAGGGGGCTCTTCTGAGCTGGCCTTGGATGGAAACGAGGGCTGCATCTTTGCTCACTGAGATGGTGACAGTTCAGAAAGTCAAGCACAGGTCAGGGACTGGGGGGTTGTCAGAGGACTTTGTCATGCCTGAATGGCTCATCGCAGGGGAGCCTCGAAGTCAAGGCTGCGGCTGCAGGGAAACTCTCACAGCCTTGTATGCAGAACCTCCTGGGGCCATGGCTTTAGGATACACTGCATGCTCAGAGTGCTTCCCAGCTGACATAGGGCCTGCCCAGACCCATTAGAACAGAGAAGGGCATGAAAGGACCAGTCATTACCTGATTTTATTCCCCATGTGCCACTGACCCAGTTGGTGTTTTCTTTCTTTGTGTATTTTGACTCCTAAGACAAAGCTTATGCCTGGCCACTAAGTAACCTGGGACCATTCACGGTGCTGTTGCCCACAGACAAGGGATTGAAAGGATTTGATGTGAGTATCTGAAATAACCCTACACCGAGGGGCTGATGTGAGAAGGCTTAGTAGGCAGTACCTTCTTTTATTTAAAGTAGGAAACCCCCCATTAAAATTAAACCTACTGATGGTCATTTTTTGATAAACTTCTTTTAGTGAAATATAACATTCTTACAGAAAGTACCCAAATTGTTGATGTACAACTCAATGGATTTTCCCAAAGTGAATGCACTTGTGTATCCAGCAAGTCTGTTACCAGCCCCCTCGTGCCCCTCTCCAATCATCACCCGCTAAGGTAACCCCTGAGGGTTCTTAACACACAGTCATGTGATAAATAAGATTTGCATAATGTAAATCTGCTCACTTCCCACAAAAAGAATTAAACTAATAGGTAGGTATTTGTTTCCTTAAAATCATTAGAAATGGTAACAGTAATAGGTTAAACAAGAAGAAAATTTCAGTCCCCAATGTAAGCAGCTGTTGTCTGAGATAATGTCATCCAGTGGGAGTGAAACCTGTAGGGCCTGGCGGAGGTGTCCTATCACGACGGTATCAATGAAATAATTAAATGTTAAATGTGAATTTATGTTAAAATTTGTGTTAAATGTGATTTAACATAAATGATGGACATATTGATTTCTATAAAATCGAGTTATCTTAATCCAAGATATTTTGTGATAATAATTTTTGGGTTTTGAATCAAAACCCAGTAAATTCCAGGCTCTCTTACCCTAACATCCCACCATCACTAATCTGTCTGAGATCCATCTGCCTGTTGTTAACCTTCAGAGATGTCCTTACACCTCTCCTGCTGGGGAGAACTAACAAATACTGACTAACTCTGGGCTAGGCATTTTGCATGTGCTCTCTTGTTTAATATATAGATTAAGTTCACACGGAGTTAAAAAGTATCTATTGATTGTTGACTGTATAATAGCGGCAAAATACAAATTTGATCCAATGGATTTCAAAAATCTTAACTTTTCTATTCAAAAGCACCATCAGTCCACTCACTTTACCTGCTTTTATCACAAAACTTCCTATTTCATTCCCGTCCACTTCCTGGGTTCAAGATAGATTTCTTGTTCCTTGCTCCTTCTGGCGCCATTACTATGCTATGCTTTCCCCACTGTGTCAGTCTCAGTGCTAGAGCAGCCGCCTGTGGTTTGAGAGTGGACCATGCGTCGCCTCCAACTCTCCAGATTTCTACTCCCTCAAAGGCCCAGCCCACATCCATTGCACTGGTGAAAGTCTTCTGTGTCTGAAAGAGCCCAAACCCAAGTTAGGGTGCCCTGGCGTTGATGTCTTTAATACTAAGTAAGGCACAGCGTGCATTACAAAACGCATTTTCTCCTTCAAACAGCAGTCAAATTGGCTCTACTGTTTCTTAGGTAAATGAGCTTTTGATGGATAACAAAGCTGCTCAATACTTTGTGAAACTCCACATAATTGCGGGGCAGATGAACATCGAGCGTATGAATAACACAGACACCTTCTACACCTTGACTGGAAAGTCCGGGGAAATCTTCAACAATGATAAGGTAGGAACCTATCTGGTTTTCACTCCCAGAACAAAGTTGTCTGCCAAGCCAATGCCTGTAGCCTTCTTGTGGTTGGGGTTTGTGAAAGGTCACTAAGAACTTCTTTCCTTATTTCTTGTTTGCTAAACACCTGCTACAGGGAGAAGCAGAGAGCACCACCAGGAAGAGCTAGGGAGGAGGGCCAGGGAGGAGGGCTGGACTGTTATGTAAAGAGGGTTGCAAAGCATTTGATTTTGGTCTGGTCTGACTTAGTTTTCAAGGCAACCATTGTTCAACTGCCAGCAGGAAGGAGAAACTTTGCTATAAACCTGTTTCCTGGAAGCATCAGCACAAAGCCAGATCAGCATTCCTCTTACAAAAGGAAATGGGTTATGTTTGTTTTAGATTGCTGGAGTTGGTCCATCTTCTCCAACTTAACATTCCATTTCTCCTAATGCCATTGGTTCTGTTTGTTTCTTAAATAAAACCACCACCCCCCTTTCACAAATAACTCTATTGTGACTTTACTGAGCTGGAGGGCAGGTGATTAATCAACTGAGTGTGCATGTGTATGGGATATGGCCTTGACTGTCGCATTTCACCAAATATCAGTAGTTAATAGATCATTGAGTACTTGTTCTATGCAAAGTACTGGGATTAATCTTTATTGGTGTCATATAAAACTCACCACAACCCTGTGAGGGAGGTACTGTCACCGTTCCTGTTGTTCCAATGGGAAAGCAGAGAGGTCCCACAGTAAGTGCCAGACCCAGGATTCAAATATGGGCCTGCCTGACTCCAAAGCCCACATCCTTAACCAGTCTGCTGTACTGTGTGTATGAGGATGGATGAATGGATGGATGGATGGATGGATGGATGACAGATATGGAGATGTGGCTTCCTTTCTCATAAGGACATGCATGTATTCACTTGTTCATTCATTCAACAAATATTACTAAGTCTATAACTTATAGGAGTCACATGGGAGGAAAAGGGAACCAGCTTTGGTTATTCATTCAGCAGCTATTTTTCATTGTGTGTCTTCTCTGTGCAAGACACTAAAGTAAGTGATGAATTTACAGAAAATTGAATAGTGTTGCCCTTATGGAGCTTGCAGTCTCTTAGAGGAGAGCTTTATTTATACCTTATCCACATCTAGCATATGATAGTTGTCAGTGATTTCACACATTATCTCATTTGCTAAAAATGAAAACCCTGTGAGGTTAACCAAGCAGATACCTTCATCCCCATCTTAGATTAAGTGACATCCAAAAATCCCATAGCCAATAAGTAGCAGGACCCAAGAACTCAGGGCTTCTGGCTTACAGTCCAGTGCTTGCCCCTTTTGGGACAACACATTAATTTTATTTTACCTTTCTTTGGTGTTTTAGGATAATCAACTAAAGCTTAAACTCTATGGAGGCAACAAGATGGTAAAAATTATGCAGGGGGACATAATTGCTTCCAATGGGCTCCTGCACATCCTGGACAGAGCCATGGACAAGATAGCGCCCACGTTTGAGAGCAACACTGAGGTGAGAAATTCCAGATAAAAATGATGTCAACCCAAATCCATCTTCCTTTGTTCCCTGGAGCATCACATCCAAGAAGAAAGTGCGTGCTGTCACTCTGTGCTTGTCCCTGATTTATACGAGGTGCTCAAGCAGAGAGAAGATGGGACGATTTTTCCATTTTTCATAGAATTCTGGGTATCTCTGCAGAAAGAAGGAAAGGCATACAGTACGTGCGTGGGAAAGATCTGGATATTTTTACCTCTTTTTTTTTTTTTTTACTACATCAGCGGATCGAGTCCAGTGACCAATTGTCATGAAAATTTATTCATCGTGCTTTATGGAGGAGAGCAGTTGTTGCTGCAATAAAATTTATTCCCTCTGACCTATATGATGAGGGCCAAAGGCAATTCAGAATATGCGGGTCTGAGCTACCATTTAAATAACAGCAAACATTTGTATAATGCATTACTGTTGACCAGGTTCTTTTATATATATCCACACTTATACATATACTCTGTCATCAGTCTTTTAATGTTAGAGTTTGTATTTCTTAAACCACCTTGTTATTTTTTTACTGATTTTTAAGCAAAATATCTCTTTTAGCAAACTGTCATGACAATGCTACAACCAAGATACAACAAGTTCAGATCTTTGTTAGAGGTATGTACTTTTCATGAATTTTTGAAAAAATTTTATGTCAAGTCCTTTACAAAATTATCAGGAGTGTCCATTATAAACACTTTCTGGGAAATTACTTCAAATATTTGTCCAAAGTATGTTGCAGATACAAAGTTTCATTTGTCAAATGCAGGAAACCAATGTGGGACATGCCTTAGATGAGGATGGAGTTGGTGGACCATACACCATTTTTGTTCCAAGTAATGAAGCATTGAATAACATGGACAGCACTCTCGATTACCTCCTTTCTCCAGAGGTACTGTACCCTGTTTACTGTGATGGCATCGTATCAGCTTTACTGTCTCAGTCTATGTCCATACAAGCTTTTACTAAACTAAGGAGAGCAAATAAGTAGCACATGTATCATCACCTATCCTCCCACAACCAAGGCAGACATCACTAATCAATCACAGCATTCTGAAACCAAGCCTCCATGTGGCTTCAGTCTCCTCAATAGAGTTCCAAGTAGCTATGATCAGTCAATTAGATGTCACAGGAAATAAAATCTATTTGCAACCCCAGGTCTAAATGGTTGGTTTGATTTGTCCTGGCTCTTCTAATATTTTTCAGTAATAAAATTAACATTTACATTTTAAGTTTCCTACAACTCTAAAACCACCTATAGAATGAAGCCTAAACTAGGCCATCCAGGGCCAGGCCTAGGCTAAACTTTGAAAGTAATAAATGTTATTTTTAGGTGCTCCAGCCTTTCCTTTCTATTTTTTTCATCCCTCTCCACAATAACCCTTTTCTTATCTACCATGTGCCTTCAATTCTTTCACTTTCCCCTCTAAAAAAGGGATTATTGACTCCTTCATACCAGGCTATAAGTGACTGAAACCATTTAAAGTGTTTCCTCTTCCAGAAATAACAGTCTTAATCTGAAGAAGAGAGCTAATTATGAAATTTTGTTCTTAGAACATCAAATGGTGGAATTACATGAAGGGCCACCAGCTTTCTTCCAGTGCCCTGAAATCATGCCACCATCTTGGCAATACAGCAAGATTGCCTATGACTTCCTGTAGATCAGTGTTGATTACACAGAATGGGTGGAATGTCCAAATCTTTTAGGATATTGATTCTCAAACTTCATTGTGGTCAGGAATCAACCATGGAGCTTGTTAAATAGGCAGATTCCAAAGCCCTGCCCCAAGCACTCTGATTTAGTGGTGCTGGAATAAGGCCCAGAAATAGCTATGATGGTCAGCACCAACTTTCTAACTCAGGTAGTACTAAGCCACACTGTTTGGGGACCCTAAAACTTGTTACCTGTTTGGTTTTGGGGTTCACATGGATACATCCCTTTCCAGAATACTGTCAGGTATTTACAGGGATATCTTGCTTTCAAAAAACTTTGTATTAAAAAAAAAAACGTATCAAGAAGATAAATCAGAAGGTAGTAATCTCTTACCCTGCAAACAGATGTTCAGTGTGTGAAAGGATTTGCTGCACATTTCTATAGAAAATGCCAGATCTCCCAGGGTCATCCAAAATAGGATATTATTTTAAAAATATGATTCACACTCCAATTTTCTGAAACCTAGCTGTTAAATCTCTCTTTAGAACTCACATTCATACTTCAAGTCAGCTAAAAAAGTAATATTGCTCCCCTGGGAAATTATTAAAATCCTGAGATTATACATCCTCCCTGAGTACATAGCTTCTAATTTGATAAAGATTTTTTAAAATAATAATAAAGGAGTTTGCAGGCACTAATCAGGTATGCTTAAAATTACAATAAAACTTTTTAATTAAAGAAGGGGGAAAAATCAACCTCCCTGCTCTTTTGTCAGACACTTTTGTTCAGAAAACTCTTCCCTTTCTCCTCCCTTGTAACTGTTTCCAGTGGCGGCTGGAGATGGCTCATTCAGGCTCTCAGACTGTGTATATCTCTTCCCAACTCTGTTCAGCGAGATCTTGTAGCTGGAAATTAGCCTTTGGGAAGACTATTTATACCACAGAAACTGGCCAACCATGACACCACCCCTGGCTCTCAATCTTGTTTCTCTCGAAGGCAATATCTTTCTGCCTACAAAGAATATAAAACTTCAGGTCTCTTCATTCTGAGTTAAAAATTGCTTTTCCACTTCGATTTCTAGGTGAGAAGTAGAATGATCATTTCTGCCTCTTTCTCAGATACAGAGTCTGTGCAGGTTAAAATTTCTCAGCCTAGAGAAAGCTCTTCCCCTTTCCATCTTTCTTAATAGCATCCTTTAGCTTTATCTTCAGGGAAGAACCTTGGCTGGAGACAGGAAAGTCCCCATGGGCTACGCCAATGAAATGGAAAATAAACTAGTTCATTAGAAGACAAGTTTCTAACTCCAATTTTGGAATGCGGTGTTTCCTTTCCAGTGTATCTTTTTACTTTTCCCTGAAGCAAAATTTCAGGCCGGAAATCATCCCATTCCTGCAGAGACCGCAGCCTCTGACTACAGACCCCATTTTCTGGCTTCATTGCTGAACTAGACAGAAATCAGAGCAAAGAGAGCGAGAGACTTGCCCGTGCCGGGTCACACATACCTTGCAAGTGCAACGGGGCAAGGGAGGTAGATTTACAGAGCTCAGCGTCATTCTAACAATGTGGTAGAAAAACTCTCTTGCTGCCTCAGACACCAAAGGATTTGAGTATTTTCTTTGTTTGTTTGTTGAATCTAAAACAGTAGGGGGGACGTTAAGTGTCCTCATAAAGGAAAGACGTCTCTTCAACAACAGCAGCATCTGGGAGCACATCCTGTTGATCTGAGTCATAGTGGAGTGAATTCTAACTGAACGATGGCGCCCACCCCCTAGCCACACCGGCATGGCCTGGTATTTGTCTGTGGCCTGTTAGAAGACGGGCCATGCATCACTGCTTGAGCTCCACACCACACCACTCCCCAACAACACCCCACCCCACCCCCAAGTCCTTGGAAAAATTGTCTTCCATGAAATTGGTCCCTGGTGCCAAAAAGGTTGGGGACCGCTGCCTAGCCAAATAAGGCTCCAGGCACACACAGTGGCGGAAGTGATGCTAATCAGTCCCTTTGTCCCTCTCATTCTCCTGTTCCTTGTCAACAGGATTCAACACCAATTAATTCTTGGAGCTTTAGAAGCGGATTATCCAGTTGATAAATGCTTTCCTGTAGAATTAGAGGGCTGGATGGGCTCCATAGCAGCCCCATAACAGGCAAAAACTACGACTCCAGAGTTAAGTGACTTGCTCAAGGTCACACACAAGTAGAGCAGGACCAGAGGTCCGGTTCCTGAGGTCCACCTCAGCGCTCACCCAAGGACCCTTCCCCAACTCCTTTGAATGTATTGGCGCAAATGTTTACAGAGAGCCTACTGTGTGCCATACGGTGCTGGCTGGGGACGTGGTGATTAATCAGCCAGACAGACCCAGCCCCTGCCTTCCGAGAGTTTGCAGTCTAGTTTGCTCTGACACTTCCCAACGGTTCCCTCTTTGTCCCACCCTTCTGCCTCTAAGCACAGGCATGTGTAATAACATTGCTTCTGCCTGTAAGTCCCCACTTCTGAATACCATGGAGTAGCTCCCAGGGGAAGCTGAGACCCAGAGTCCAGGTAACTTGCTCAAGGTTATGTATTAATAGGAACAGAACCAGGGCTATAGAAACCATCCCTTCCAGGGCTAGCTAACTGGTGGTCAACTTCAACATTCTTATTGATAACCCTGCCCTGCACATAAGGCTATTGGCTTATAGATATGGTGTTCATGTAATTTATTATCCATACCAGGACAATAGGCATAAGCCAAGGTTGTATCAGACAAGCCAGAATGAAGGGTCCCCCTGCGTACAGGTATCTCCTCTGGCATAGTGACCAAGGTCAGATGCAGAGAGGAGGCTGGGTGAGGGGAACTAAGGTTCAGCAGGGCTTTCTTTCAGCCTGGGACTCACACTGTTGGAATTTGTGCCTAGAATGGTCAGCCCCTTGGGTGGTTACTAGGATCTTGATTTGTGATCCTTCACCTTTCCAAGGCAGAGGGACTGTGGCCGTGCCACTTAAGGGCTTTGAAGCTTGTAACTCACAGCTCTGACTCAGCTAGGAGATTGCAGGCATACTACGGGAGACCCCTGCGGCCGCTGCCTTCTTTCCCAAAGAGAGTGGTCACCAGGCTCCTCCACTCTGCAGCCTCCCTCCAGGGAACCCTACAGGGACTGCCTGTCCCATCCACCGTCTCTACTGTGGGGCCAGGACCCTCTTTTTCTCCACTGCTGCGTCAGTTTTCCAAAGCAGGAGAAACCTTGGAAAGGGCTTTAATGGAGGGATGAGCTTCTTGTGGAAGGGAAAGGTGGTCAGGATCCCTGTGACTGTATATTCCTAAGTGACAGGTGTGTGGTCTGACAACCACACATTTATTTATGGAGCAAGAGAAACAGAATTATAAATGGAGGCTGTCTTAGAAAATCCAGAATGGAGCCTTAGATGTTCAGAGTGATGAGAGTCAGGGCTAATTTTACACAAGGCTCACGTCTTGTGTAGCTTCGTGACCTTGGACATGTCTTTGAATCTCTGTGTTAGCACAGCTAAAATGGGTCAACAGTAGTTGCTAGCTCACAGGGCTGTTGGGAGAATTAAATGGAATGTGCATATTATGTTTGCAGAACAGCCTCTTCCTAAGAGTGGGAATTTAGCTACTTTAGAACGTTAGCTACTTTGGAGATGGGATTTTTCTCACCCTGGATTTCCCAATAAAGAGATTACGGGTCATTTATTTTTCTTGATTACATGTCCAAAGTCCTTTGAAGAGGCTCTCACAAGAGGGGGAGTGTTGTGTTTTCCTCATTGGCTAAAGAAGTATTTTGATTCCTTTGCAGGGATCTCGGAAGCTCCTGGAACTTGTCAGATACCACATTGTCCCATTTACCCAGGTGGGCCCTAGTTTTCCTGCCACTACTTTTTCTCTGCTTTCAAGATATCTCACCTGAATTCCAATATTTTGGTGCTAAAAAAATTGTGACATTTGTTCTTTTTCTGTAGCTCTGAGGGAGCCCTCAGCCACAAATAAGGAGTGTGTTATCAGAGAGATCTGCAAAGTCACAAAAACTCATAACATCGAAATTTCCATTGTTTATTTCATAAACTTTTAAGGCTATTTTTTCCAGGGAGGACATTAAGAACTGAGGGCTCTGTGTGTGGCCCTAAATGTCTCTGTTCATTGTTTTCTTCTTGTAGCTTGAAGTGGCCACTCTCATCTCAACCCCTCGCGTTCGGAGCATGGCCAACCAGGTCATACAGTTCAACACCACTGACAACGTGAGTGAAAGCGCCACCACCGCTGTCCTTACTCATGTGCACTTTTGCTCTGATGATGACTAGTCATCAGGTCATCCTGCCTCTACACTAACTCACAGGCTTAAAATCTTTAAAAGTCTTAAAATCTTTATGATTATTTCATTCATTTGTCACTTCCTTCAGCAAATATCTGCTGAGCAACCACAAGTGTGAGAGTCCGCACTATATGCCAGGGATAAAGCAATGAAAAACACAGACATACCCCAGCAGAGAAAACAGACTTTAAACAACGCAGTAGGCAATCAGTTAATTATTTAATTACAATTGTAATGATTTCCCCCAAGGGGGAGTTCATGGACCTGTGAAAGCACCTATGAGAGGAGTCTGGGAAAGCCTAGAGGTCAAGACGTCCTCAGTAAAGAGGTGAGAACTTGGCCACACTTTGCAGGATGAGTGGAGTGAACTTGGGCAGAGGGGAACAGAAGAGAGCTCCAGGCAAAAAGGAGAGCATGTGCAAAGACCCTGAGTTAGGAGGGAATGTGACTTATTTTAAAAACTCAAAGAAGACAATGATATTCAGCTAACTCCCTGGGGTTGTAATATCAGCAAAAGTCTGGCAGCACAAAGATGGTGTCTTCCATTGAATCACAGTTGATGGTGATGATGGTGATCTCATCCTTTCAACAGGTATCTCTTGAGTGCCTGCTGTGTGCCAGGCACCATTCTAGGTCCTGAAGACAGACGAATGAACAAATAGCAAAAGTCCCTGGTTGCATGGAATTTCCATTTTAGTAAGTAGGGGGATAGACAAGTTAAATGAGTAAAATATATCATATATTAGAGAGTAGTGAGTGCTAAGAAGAAAAAGAGCAAAGCAGAGAAGGGTAATGGAGAATGGGGAGGAGCTGACATCTTAACTAAAGTTCCCAAGAAGTCCTTGTGGAGAAGAAAACATTGGAGCAAAGACCAGAAGGAAATGGGGGAACGAGCAGTGCGAATATCCGTGGAAAGGATATTCCAGAGACAGGAAGCAGCGAGTGCAAAGGCACAGGGCAAGGAGTGTGCCTGAGCTGTGTGAGGAACAGCAAGGCTGGTGTGACTGGAACAGAGGGTGCAAAAGGGAGAGAGAGAGGAGTCCAGGCAGCAAGAGGGAGGAGGGGATGTGGGGGCAGGTCACAGAGACCTAGGAAGTCAGGGAAAGAATGCAGGCTCTTATGTCAAATGAGATGAGAAGCAACTGGAAGACTTTGAGCCGAGGAATGACATGATCAGACGCATGTTTTAAAAGGCTGGTTAGGAGATTTGTTTTGATTTGATTGCAGTAATCTGGAAAAGAATGATAGTGACACAGCCCAGGGTGGTAGCAGGGATGTGGGGAGAAGTAGCTGAATTCTGAATGTATTTTGAAGGTAGGCCCAGCAGAATTTGCTGATGGACTGGGTGCGGGTCAAGACAGATAAGCTAGGAAGACTCCTGGGGTTTTGACTTGAGCAACCAGGATGAAGTTGCCATTAATAGCACAGGGCGGGCAGGTCTGGGGAGGAAATGGAGATCAGAGACCTTTGCTAATGGGTCCGTTTGCTCTCCCTCCACTGGAACCAAGCAGGAACTTTTCTGTCTTTTCACTGATGTATCCCCAGCACCTAAGGCAGAGCATAATTCAAGGTCAATAAATGTATTTGAATGAATCGATCCCCATTTCACTACAGAGAGGCAAAACAATTTGCCCAAGGTCTCACAGCAAACACATTGCAGAGCTGGAATAATTATACCTCCCCCCACAGCCCCATGCCTGCAAGGACCATTTCTGCAAGGACATTCTTGCCTGGTGTTAGCCAAGAATTCATTTAACAGATTCAATCTTTCTCTGTCAGCCAAATCCTTCTGATAGGAACCTTCCCTCCAATGAAAAGTTGAGTGACGTTGAGGACTTTTTAGCGAACCACCACCATTCCAAGCTGCCTGAGGATCGCTGGTGCTCCTGCAGGACAGAACGAAAGATGTGGTTGCTTCTTTCCAGGGACAGCTTCTGGCAAATGGCGTGGCCATGGAGGAAATTGAGGTTGCTGCCAAAAATGGCCGAATCTACACACTGGCCGGAGTTCTCATTCCCCCGTCCATTGTGCCAATTCTGCCCCATCGGTGTGATGAAACAAAGAGAGAAATGAAACTGGTAAGAAAACTAGGAAAATAAATAAGGCCCCCCACAGTCCCTCAGAGCAGACAGTGTCCCAACCCTCACAATTCGGAGAAAGCTGACAGAGAGTTTTGCCACGGAAGTTCTGTCTCATAAACCGTGAACCAAACTTCCTTGAGGAATTTCTGCAGTGAAAGATGTTGCCCAAGAATATTAGCTTCCTAGGGCTGCCATGACAAATTATCACAAACTGAGTGGCTTAACACAAGAGTAATTTACTCTTCACAGCTCTGGAGCCATACTGCCTCTGAGGGCTCCAGGGAGGAATCCTTCCTTGCCTCTTCCTGGCTTCCAATGGCTCCCAACAGTGCCTGGCAGCCCTTGGCAGTAGCTGTAGGACTCCAATCTCTGCCTCTTCACAAGGCCTTTGTCCCTGAGTGTGTCTCTATGTGTCCTCTCCTCTTTTCATAAGGACACCAGTCATTGGATTCAGGGCCCAGCCTAGTTCAGTAGAACCCCATCTTAGCTTAGCTAATTACATCTTCAAAGACCCCATTTCCAAATATGATCACATTCTGAGGTTCTGGGGAACATGCATTTTTGGAGATACACTATTTAACCCACTATACCAGAGCTCCATGACCAGATCAGGGTTTTCTTCCCTCTGGGATTTAGGATCAGTCTCCTACCACTTCCTTCCCCTGCCCCTGTCACTTGGGACTACCCTGCTCCAGGCCCATAGCTTTTCTCTCTCTTAGAGGGACTTAAAATAGAATCCCTTCCCAGGTAGATGCTCCGGCCTGGCCAATCAACCATCTTTCTGTGGTTCTTTTCAAAAATCAGACTTTCTGTTTCCCTATGAACTTCTGTACCTGTAATGGCCTTTCCTATTTCCGTAGAGACATTTTGGTTCAGCCAGTTTTAATCAAAGCACCCCAAGTTCCAGTACTGCTGTACAAGCAATCTTTCAGTGCCCACAAAAACTATAACCCCAAATTGTAGCAATAAGATCTCTGTGTTTCTCTTTTCAGCACACTTCAAGAATACATCAATGATTTTTCTCACAATGTCCTTGGAACATGAACATTGGACACGGAAATATGGCCTCATTTTATTAATTATTTTATTTTATTTTATTTGTCCCTCTCCTTGTCATGAAGGCTGGAAATAGCTAGCTAAGCACCTGGCACAAGACTGTGGCTTATGCTTTTGATTCTAGATGTCTTAATTGATGTAATGACTCTGATATGTTTTAAGCTATTGAGGATGGTACCAGTCCTCTGCACCAGTCAGATACCATCTGGGGATTTGATTCCAGTCTGAGCACCCCTTTTTAAGAGGGACAGAAACATGGTCACTTTCATAGCCAGTCCTCGGCATCGATTTATGTTTGGTTCATTCTTTGGAAACAAGCACCAGCAGGTGCATCTCCTGGCTTAGACCAGGGTGAGGAACAGAACAGGCCAGAGTCTCATTTTCTAGCCCAAAGGTGAAAATATTAGGAAGTAGGACCTCTTCAGAAAAGAAGGGACTAAGAGTCCATAATGAAATGTGTTCTTCAGAGCTCCCCTGGCCCAAGCAGCTGCTGTCCAAGTTCAGGGAAGGGAGTCTGTGGAGGGACAAGGGCAGCCCTAACTGCCTGCCATGTTGCAGGGTTGTTCTGTTTTAAACTGTTCAAAAGTTTATTCTCCACCTCCCTGAAGGACAGATTCAAGAAACGTGTTCGAGCTGCCACTCAAAGAATTTTGGTTATAAAGAAAAGTTCTTTGGAAAAACAACTTCCCAATAGCTGCCTTAGAATGAACTCTTTCTTTACTATTTTCTCTAAATTTACAGTCAAATCTATCTGCTCTGCATGGTTTGGGATGGTCGTGATTGAGTCCATTAAAAGTCCAAATACATTCTCTGGAAAGTATTCAGGACTAGCAAAGAATAGGAGCAACTGGCACCTTCTGGAAGTCTCAGTTTTCACCAGGCTGAACCCATAGCTGCCTCTCGGCGTGTAGGTTTGGATTTTAAAGGTTTAATAATAACACTCTGTATTAGTTAGGGTCCCTGCAGGAAACAGAATTTATCTAAGATGGTCCAAATGAAGAGACATTAATGAAGCAGCTACCGTAGAGGTGTGTGGGCTAAGCAGGGCTAAGGAAGCAAACACAGTCTACCAGAGCATCCAGGGAGAAGCGATGGCAGGAGACCACTGCCACTGAGTACCAAAGTGCCTAGGGCAGTGCATGGAGTTACCCGAACCCAGTGAGAGCAAGAAGAGTGGAAGAGGTGACATCCAGCAGGAGCTGTAGGGACAGTGCCAAAGCAGAGAGGGAGCAGGGAAGAAATCCTTGATTTTGCTCTTCTCCTACCCATTGAAATCCTGCTGGTGACTTACGATGGCCAAAACCAGCTGGCAAGGGAGTCCAGAAACCATCCTTTATGGTCCACCTGCTGGGGCACAGAGCCAGGTAGAGATGGTCAAAGAATGGATGTGGAGAGCTTTATAGGTTCCTGCCCTCCTGACTTCAGAACCAATGCAGGAGAATCCAGGAGACTGAAAGGCAGAGATTCAATGCTCAGCTTTATTACTGCTAAGTGAATTGGAGAACAAGGACTTAAGTCTGTGGCCAAAGTCAACACTTCGTCCCTGGCACAGATGGACAACTGCAGTGTCCCCTCTGGGACAGGTGCCTCCCAGCCTGCTGAGAGTTGATCAGCAGCCTGTGGTCTGTGGACAGGTTGGCTCTGGAAGAGGGAAAGGAAGGGGTTGCTCTGAGTAGGCTCAGCTCCTTCTCCCAACTTCCCCCCAACTCCCAGGATTTACTTTGCTCCTTTCCCTGGGGGCTAGGAGAGAGACCTGGAGTGTGGCTCTAGTGGAGCTCCCTTCACAAGGAGGGACGCATGAAGCCTGGGATGGGGACACATGTACTGACCTACTGTCTTTCCTTCCAGGGCACCTGCGTGAGCTGTTCCCTGGTGCACTGGAGCAAATGTCCTGCTAACTCGGAGCCCACAGTGAGTGTGACAGCTTCGTGAAACCACACATCACCCAAGCAACCCCACTGGTGTTGTTTCTCAGCTTTTCTACCTTTCTTCTTTAAAAGATATCTATTGCTAATAAGATTAGCTCTTAGCCCATTATATGAAGGGATGGTAGAAAGAGAACCCTCAGACCTGTGTTTGAGTCCTTGTTCACTGACCCTAGGTGAGTTGTTTAACCTTTTTGCTCTGATTTTCTTCATCTGTAACTAACAATGACAACAACAATAGGATTAGCATAGATTTTTTTAAAAAACCCAAGCACAATTCCTAAGTGAAGTAGCCACTCAGTTCCTCTCTATTTTTCCCTCTTAGATAAAATCCAATGTTTGCATTTGCTCTTCCTAAGCATAATTCTGAAAAAAAAAACAGAAGAAACTCAGGAAAATACTATTGGGACTATCAAAAGCTTTCATGTTTGATTGAATTCCGTACATTTATTGGGGATCATTCATGTATTACATAGTGCTTGGTTCCAGAGGCACAGGATGGATGAGATAGAGGTTTTTGTTTGTTTGTTTTGCTCTTGGGAAGCTCCATTTAAAAAGGAAAACAGACCATCATACAACAATCTATACTTTCTATGCCAAGTACTCTACTGGTTGCAAAAAGCAAAGCGTTCTAAGGTAAAAATGATGATAGAAATTTCTGCCTGCGAGTTCATCATAAGAAAGAATTTCCCAACCAGAAGTTTCATTAAACACTAGACTAGATGGTTACAGAACGTGATGAGCTCTTTAATGTAATCCTATTGTGAAGAATTTAATAAAGCAAAACATTAAAATTAAATAGGCACAGGTGTTCATGTATTTACTGTGCTTGGTGAAGCCATCACCCCCGAGTCCTTCGGGATGCTACCAGCCAGGGAATACGAGAGGGAGGAGAAGAGGAAGTGGTGTTGGCTAATAGCACAGTGAATGCTGGGTGCCAGCGATTGTTCTCAATGCTTTATGCTCTGTGCAGCAATCCCTTGAGGTAGGTATATTGTCATTGTCACCAATGCATGATTGGGACTAAGGCAAGGAAGCAAAATACCTTGCACAAGGTCACACAGCTGACATGTGGCAGAGCCCTGGTTTGTTCTGCATGTAGAACCACCATCCTAGATTCCGTAGGAGTCAAAAGAGGCCTGCACTCACTCCTCCCCATGATCCCATGATCCACACCTGGTAATTATCCTGAGATCCAACAAGAGGACTGTAATGTTCCCTCCTCGGTGACCTCGGAATTTCTTCATATAGCTAAGATTTTAGGATTTTATACTCTGGGAAGATCTCATTTTTTCTCTCTTCTTGAGCAAGAGCCTAAGATGAAGGGGTAAGCGTGACATAAACATTTATCTAACACAAAATTTGAGCCAGGGACTAAATTCTTATGAAAACTTGTTATCAGCATTATTGTCCCATTTCACAGATTAGGCCCACAGAGACCACATGACTTGCCTATGATCCTAAAGTCAGTAGATGATGAGACTCATTCTCTGGACCTTATACTTGCAGTGTTTCTTAGGAAAGTGATTTAACCTGTCTGGGCGTTGGTTTTGGTTTCCTTATCTATAAAAAAGGCATGGAAAACATCCAGATGGAGTTGAAGATTGATGAACTCATATGTGCAATGTGCCTGGCCCACAGTAAGTTCTCAGAAATGGTAGCTCTAGACAGTTATGACTGGGCACCAGACGTTAGAGAATGGACAGGTGCATTTTAATCTGCCCCCACACCTAAAAGAAAAACTCAGACTATTGCTATTTTATTTGGTGGATTGTTCCACAAAGTATAGATAGACTTTTTACTGGCTCCAACATTTCTATATAGGAGCAGGTTAGCGACGGCTGTAGATTGGAAGGAGAGGCTAGGCCACATCCAGGATGAACAGAAAATGATTCCTGGTCAATTAGAGATGTCTGTCGTGGCATGAGACAGGGCATGAAGGTACATGAGCCATGGGATGTGCAAACCCTGTATCCTACCAACAAGGAAACAGGCCTAGAGAGTCCCCAAGCTCTAACTGGACCCAGGCGTGCGGGTGCGGTCCAGCGCTCTCTCCTCGTGAGTGGAAAGTGTGTGTAAAAGCTGAATGATGCCCAGAGGACCTTGACATGCAGACTGCCTCACTTTCTTGGCTTTCTTCCAGGCACTCTTCACACACAGATGTGTCTACAGGAAAAGGAGCCTAAAGAGTGGCTGTGCCCGGTACTGTAATGCCACCATGAAGGTAAGGAGCGTGTGGCCAGGCCAGCAGGGCAAGGCAACCCCAGGGCCATGCTCTTGGGCCCCTGTCTGCATGGTCACAGGGGGCCTGTGGAGCCTTGGCAATGTCTTCCTGCAGGGGAACCGAAGGGTGGATTCTCCACATGGTGGCCAGGCAACCTCCCCGCCATGGTTCCCAACGCCCTTAACACAGAGCCCACCCTGCCAATACTTCCCCGCATGGCCTACCCTCTGCCTGTGGCTCTCAATTGCCTCTCACCCTCATTCCTACTTGGAGTGTGCACACTTGCCATCACCTCCCTCAGGGCATGCTCCCAGATTGCCCTGGGGCTGACTCACCTTCCAAGCCTCCACTAACTGTCACTGCCTCTGTCCCCACTCAATCCACAGTGGCCTCCCCAGCCCCACCTTCCAACCCCTGGCCCTACCTGCACCACTGTATTATGGTACTTTGTTTTCCCAGCACTTACCATCCTCCGAAATGATCTTCTCTCACATTTTTCATTTGTTCATTTACTTATTGTCTGTTCCCTGACTTAGACCCTTGGCCCCATGAGAGCTCGAGCCATCATCTGTCTTGTTTGCACAGGGTTAGGGCCAGGCTGGCAGCCACGGGAGGTGTTCGGTAGACTAGTGATGACCAGATGGCTGAGTACTAGCCGTGCCATCATTGGCCAAGAAAAAGCCACGCTGATAAGGAAGGGCCAATATGGTTTATCACAATAATGGAAATTAATACATCCCCTTTGAGGAATTGGAGCTCTGCTTGGGGTTTCAAAGGGCAACATGCATTTTGTTTCTCAGATACCAAAGTGCTGCAAAGGTTTCTATGGGCCCGACTGCAGCCAGTGTCCAGGAGGCTTCTCGAATCCATGCTCGGGAAATGGGCAGGTGAGAAGGACAGCCCACAATGCACACTTTTTCATGAATGCTGAAGGCTGGCCTTTCTTAAGTCAAGTCAAATAATAATTTTTAAAACTGCTAAACCAAAGAGTGATACAATGCTGGCCACTATTCCCAGGAAATAAAAGAAACCAATCATTTACTAAAGAACAGAAGGTGTCTGCAGTAGAAGGCACCTGGTCTTGGGAATGGGAGGATGGAAGGGGAAGGGTCCTGTGATGTTGCTTCTAGTCTCTGCTTTCCCATTGCCGATGGCGGGACCTTGGCAACTCCCACTTTCCTTGTGGGAGATACCAGGATTGACCTGCATTTGTCTCTAAGACTCCATCCAGGACTAAGATTTTAAGATACTTAAAAAAAGTTTTTAAAAAAAGCACTGCCCAGTGATTGCCTTTTTAATTATCTGCAAAAGCTGGTGAAATGATGAGGCCAAAACTTAACTCATCTAGCTTGGAGGCCAAAGCTAAACAAACAAAGGTAAAAGTAGCTGTGATTCATATGGGGAAATTATAGATCTGTGTATTTAATAAATCCACATCTAAAATATGGTTCTTTCAAGGGGAAAGAAAACCTGTACAGTCGTGAGTGGGGACACCATGCAGACAAGGGGGACGCCAGTCTAATGACTGTGGCCACAGGGTGGGAGGCAGTGGTGCCCAACTCTCATGCACGTCAGTCAGTACAAACCTGGCGTTGCCTGGGCTGGGGAGGTGGGAGGAACGTATGTTTACCACTGAAGAGAGAAAACACCGCAGTGTGGAGGCACAGAGCTAAGTGAGATTGTAGAGAGAGAAAGGCCAGTCACTCTCGCTGAAGGGCCCTGTCTTACCACTTACTCCATAAGCGTTGCTTGAAGGTTCCCGGTTCGCCATCAAGACCCCCCTTCAGTGACTTCCCTTAAAGTTTAAGTCCTGGCTCAGGATCCCCAAGCTGGTCACTGTTTTAGCATCCAACCTGATCCCAGCACGACTCCACTTTCCACAAGGAGTTCCAAAGGGTCATTTCAAGTGAGATTGAACCTGAGTTCAAAGAAGTCAGGCCATGAAACAAAAATCTAGATGAATGTTTCCTCGCCGGCACGTGTCCTAACAGCCCATGGGCCTGCCTTTGCTCCCAGTGCGCAGACAGCCTCGGTGGCAATGGGACGTGCATTTGCAAGGATGGCTTCCAAGGCTCCCAGTGTCAGTTCTGCTCCGATCCCAATAAATATGGACCTCAGTGTGACAAAAGTAAGTGGTGCTTCCAGAGGTTCCTTCCACTCCTAAGCAAGGGTCCCCCTGCACTGGTGCAGGCTGCTGGAGCAGGCCGGGTGTCTTGGGACCCCTTTGCTTGGGGGTTGCCATCATCCCAGGGCATTTCTTAAGCTCTGATTCTCAAGCTAGAGCATGGCCAGAGGGCTGGGTCCCACTTGCAGAGTTTCTGATTCAGTAGGCCTGGGTGGGGCCTAAGAATTTGCATTTCTAACAAGTTCTCAGGGAATGCCAACACTGCTGGTCCAGGGACCACACTTGGAAAACCACTCTCTCAAGGTTTTTCCTCATACCAGAAGTGATAGTGGGCTCAGTATCAAGAACAGATTCACTCCCTACCTTTCAAGCAGACCTCTTCCATCAGCTCCTCCATGTGCAAGATGCGTGACCTTGGGCAAGTCACTACACCTCTCTAGGCCTCAGTTTCTTCATCTGTAAAATGGGAGTGATAATAATAGTAAGTGCCTTGTAGGGTTAGTACAAGTTATTAATGGAAAGCACTTGCCTTAGAACAACGCCTAGCACATAGTATGTGCCACAAATATGCTAGCTATTATTTATCATTGTTGTTGCTATTATTCTAAGTACAGCGACATAATATCAAGAAGTTTATAGAACATGTAGAAAGTTCCACAACAATAGGTATGGAAAAAAATGCACTTACACAGTCTTAGAACGTGCATTTTATTCTTTAAAATGATTCCCTGTGTATGTTTAAATAAATGTGTATATTTTGGATGTATATTTCTAAGATTAGAATTTAATGATAGAGTCAAAGGAATGGATAAAAGCTTGCTATGGAGTCCGACCAACCTGAATTTAAGTCCCCACTCTGCAACCTACTGACTATATGATCTTAGAAAAAGTCTCTCAATTTCTCCATCTATAAAATGAAGATCATGTTGGCACTTACTTTATGGGCTATTGGCAGGATTAAGTTAGACCATAATTTGGGGCTTTCATCACAGAGCTTGCACCCAGCTCGTAATCAGTAAACAAAGCCGCTCTTGTTACTGTCACAAAACACACACTCTTCCCCGCTCCTACCTCATTTGATCTCCCGGTTCCCTCTCAAGATGGACAGGAAGCCAGAGCACAGCAGGGTCCAGGCCGCTGAATCCTATTCCAGTGTTCTTTTTGCCAAATTAGATTTCTGAGGGAAAAGAAAAAAATAGGGGTTTATTCCAAGACCTGACAACATTGGCATTTGTCTGAGGCTAGCGGGACAGGATGCTGAGGCAGGCGGGGGCGGGGGGGTCTTGCGCCTCTCATCCCAGGCCTGAGGCTGCCCAGGATCTCATGCATGGGTTTGCTCCTTGGAAAATAAGCCCTGACTTACTTAAAATTGTATAAAAATTCTTTTTTGTTTCAAATCCAGCTGTGATTTTCCAGCCCCCCTCACTTGTGTCTGTCTTCTCTTTCCTGGATGGTGGCTCCACCCACACACGCTAATTCCTCTCCCATCAGTCCCTCCTGGGGCTAGACCCTGGACTCCTTCACTTCCGATCCTATCTCAGGACTCAAAATCCTTGCCACCTTCCTTTGAGAAGTTCCCTATCTTTCTTTTCGCTCCCACGTGCGTAGGAGCCTGAATTGGACGAGCCGGCTCATGCTGCAGTTTTTAAATACCTGTAATCAAAAGCAAATTAAGCAGCTAAAAGTTAAAATGATAGGAGGGAAGTGGAAACGTCAGTTAATATAATGATCTACTGTGTTTACACGTAGTCCTTAATAGAAATGGACTTTGAAGCCCAGGTTCAAATCTCTGCTTGGGAACTTCACAGCACCTGGGAATTTGCCTCACCTCCCTGGGCCTCAGTTTCCTCATCTGAAAAATGGGGATTATAAAAGTATTGATGCCTATCTCCTGGGACCGGTGACTATTAATGAAATGGTGCATGTGAAAGGCTGACCCAGCGCCTTAAATGGAGTCAGTCGCCCACATATCGCCCCTTAGTTATCACTGGCCTGCCGTGGTAGAGTGATGAGCTGCACGTCAGGGGCCCGGCCAGCGTGAGAAATCATTTCTATTTGTGCCAGAATAGCTCATGAAAGGTGAGGCATTCCCAGGCTAACCTGTCCGACAACGAAGTAGTTGAAAATTGAGTTCCTCGGCCTCTTTCACAGCATCTCACCCACCCCCTCCCCGACATTCCCTCACACACGCATGTAAAGTAGCCCAGGGCCACATTCTTCTCCTTCTGGGTGGGGAAGTCACCAAGGGTCGTCCCAGGCACTCTGAGAAATGGCCGAGACCATAAGAAACAGCGGCCCAAGCCGCCCCCGAGTGCAATGTCCAGGCTCGGCTTTGACAGGAGTAGTGGTGGGGGGAGGAGGCGGTCACTGTCCCCCAGGATGCTCTGCCTCCCCGCTCAGCTTGTTCCCCAAGCCCTGACGTCCCTCGTCCTTCTCTTCCAGAATGTCTGTGTGTTCACGGAACATGTGATAACAGGATAGACAGCGACGGGGCCTGCCTCACCGGCACATGCAGAGACGGCTCCGCCGGGAGACTCTGTGACAAGCAGACCTCAGCCTGTGGGCCCTACGTTCAGTTCTGTCACATCCATGCCACCTGTGCATACAGCAATGGGACAGCCAGGTGGGTCTGTGAGGAGAAGGCCCTTAACCACTCAAAGCCACCGTGTTACCTGCAGATGGAGCCAACCCATATCTCAATTCTGTAAACTAAGGCCTATTCTCTCCAGCTGACAGTGTGGCTTTTGTGGACAGAACCTCAAATTGCAGCACCCGCTGCTTTGAAACTTACCAGCTGCGCGACCTTGGGCAAATTACTTAACCTCTCTGAGCCTCATTTTCCTCGTTAGACCAATAAGGATGATGATATCTGCCTAGCAGGGCAATCATGAAGTGTAGAAGAACCGAATGGAAAAGCACCAGCACCAGGGCTAGCACGTTGTAGGTATTCCTTCATGGAAGCTATAATTGCTATCATCACACACGTGAAAGAAATGAGATTTGTCCACCAACTTTCCAACCTTTGAAAATGCCTTAGCTTCCTAAGACTGTTAATAAATAGCTCCCCTGTTAAAGGCATCTTGCAGGAAATTGGGTCTTTAGGCAACAGATCGACATTTTGTTTTCTTAATGCTAACATCTGCAGTGGGTTTGGGGAGGGGAATGCCAGAGGAAATTTTCCTCTCTGGGAATATCTGGTTATTTGTTTGCTTGTTTTGGTCTGCCTCCTTGACTAGACTGCAGACTACGCGAGGCCATAGACTGTCTTTTCTTTTCCATAGTTTACGATAGAAATGCGTTTTCCTAAGGAGTCAGGATCTACACCCGTGCATAAGGCAAAAACGACATGTAATCAAAATCACCCTCACAACTTCCTAAATGGCCCACAGAGGCCTGTGGATATGGGTCCGTATGTTCTATATTACCCTGGGTAAGTCAAACAGTATCGCAACAGATCAAGCTGTTTCTTCGTTTGGATGCCAGCCGAAGTGTTTAGTTCCTCTAGGAAACTTGATGCATGAAAAATGTTTGTGTTAATTTTTGTGAAGCACATGACTGAATTGCAATAGGACATGGGGACATGATGGGGCCACACGGTGTCCCCCGCATCTATCACAGGGCACTCAATAAGCATTGGTTAAATAAATCAATGAACGAATGGCTCACATTGAGTAGTGAAACATCACCATGGGACATTCTGAGAGGAGTGTCTCAAAGTGTGATGGGTCAGGAATTTACGTCAGCTCACGGAATAAGGCACCTTAGGATGTTGTGTTGGGGGGAAAAATATATCTGAGGGACCAGAGAACAGAGAAGTCTCACCTGCCATTTTCAAATATTTTAAGAGTTGTCACATAGAAGAAAGGGCAGAGCTGTTCATAACTAGCATTGAGCAGAAAGATTTACAAAGAGGCAGGTTCTGGTCCAATAAGAGCGGAAATGCCGCCAGGTGTTGAGCTTTACAGAATGCAGGTGCTCAGCTAAGCACTCCACACGCATCCCCTCATTTCATCTTCACGGCCTTATGGGGAAGGTGTTGTACCCATTTTCCAGATGAGGAAACAAAGTTCCCCGGTTGTTAAGGGATTTGTGCAGGGTCACACACAACTGCTAAGCAGTGGGGCCTGGGTTCCCAGCCAGGTGTGTCTGACTGCAGACCCCAGAAGTCCCCCTGACCACATCTGAACACTGGCTTCCTCCACACGAGCAAACTGTCCAGCCACCTGGCCGTGAACCGCTTCACCTCTGGCTGGCTGGTCCTCTGCTGGGTGAGTGGTGCTTACATTTCTGGGGCTGATTTTGTACACTTCTCTTTGCAGCTGCATTTGCAAAGCAGGCTATGAAGGAGATGGAACTGTGTGTTCTGAGATGGGTCCTTGCTCAGGATTAACCCCAGGAGGCTGTAGCCGCAATGTGAGTGTTGGTCTTTATTTCCAAGCTGCCTGGGTTGTTTTTTGTTTGTTTTCGCGGTTTTATTTGTTTGTTTGTTTAAGAAATCCTGAGAGAAGGCGTTCCAAAAGGCAGTGTCTGATCACATTTCATATGCATGAAGCACTTGCGTCTGAACCTTGAATTTCAAAGACAGCTGCCAGGTACTTTCTATGAGCCTCCACTTTCTAAATCCAAACACGCAGGGGGCTTGAAAAAACACAGCATGAGAATCAGACATTGAGATCAAAAGTAATACCTCTTGATTCAAACTTTACAGCTTACGAGGGACTTTAATGTACCAGATCTCATTTGTTCCTCCCATCAACCTGATGAAGTCAATATTGTCATCCTCATTTTACTGATTAGGAAACAAAGCTTTGGGGAAGTTAAATGAATTGTCCTAATTTCTGTTGTTATTAGGGATGTAGCCAGAACACACTATTGCTCTCACTAATGCCTTTCAAATGTCACCACCACCACCTGCCCCCAGTCATTTTCCTTTCTTACCTCTGGGTTTAATGACGGGTCCCCTTGCTTCCTCTCTTGCCTACCCACAGTGCATTGTCCACTCACAGCCAGAGTGGCTTGAAGCAAGTCAGATCGTGCTTCTCCGAGGCATAACCCCCTTGGGGAGCTCCCTGTGGTTCTGAGGATAAAATCTAGGAACAACTGCCTTGCCCCAGCCCACCAGATTTCCCTTGGGCAAGCCCCACGCCCCCTCAGCCTCATCTCAACAACACAGCTTGTACCTCTCTGTCCTTATCTGCCTGCCTGCCCTTCAGCCTCCTGCTGTGGTCCTCCTGAGAGCCTGGGAGCTGGTATAGGGGTTAGGCTCCTCACCCCACATTTTAGAGACCTGGGTCCATGCCTCTTTGCAACTGCATGACCTTGGGCAACACCTGTTTCCTTATCTGTAAATAGAGATAATAGCAGTTTCTTCCTCAAGATGATTGTTTATACCTGCAAAACAATAAAAACAGTCCCTGGCTTATTAAATAGCATAGTGACGTTAGTGGTGGTAGCCATTAGCTGGCCAGCTCCAAGCAATTTTGCTCTTTAAACCACCTGATATTGTCATTGATCTCAATGCAAATTAGGCATTTCAATCATTTCCGCTGCACCCAGTGAAAGTATGTGTTTCTAGAACAAACCTCTGGAAATTCTGTTTTGCTTTTGGAATCATGTGGCTGGACTGAGATTTCAGAGGCTTTGCTTTTTCTCTTTCCCCTCCTGCAGGCAGCGTGCATCAAGACTGGCGCGGGCACCCACACCTGCGTGTGTCAGCAGGGGTGGACAGGGAACGGGAGGGACTGCGTGGAGATCAACAACTGCCTGCTGCCCGGCGCAGGCGGCTGCCACGACAACGCGACCTGTTTGTACGTAGGCCCCGGGCAGGTAGGTTGGACGTGGTAGAGGGCAAAGAGAAAAGCAGGATTCCTGCGGTGACTTTTCTTTCTCCAGGACACAGAACTACTTTGGCTAGAACTTACTGCAGTGTTTTTGCCACTTGTAGCAGTGAGAATGGGTTCATTGTCACAATGAACCTATGATGAGGTATTATTATTATACCATCTTACGGAAGAGGAAACTGAGGCACTGAAAAGTTAAATAACTTGCTCATGTGACGTAGAAAATAAGTTGTGATTCAAGATTCACACCCAGGATGATTCCTTCTTAGTCACCACCCAGGACCACACCTTGTATTTCTGTAGGGCTCTATATCTCATTGGTCACTTTCACTTACCCCCATTTAGTGGAGACCAAGGCAGAGAGGCTACTGCTTGGAAATTAATCAGCTCCAGGGGAGGTGATCCCAACTACACGGGGATTCTGGCCATGGACAAGAAGAGGTGACTAACAGGGACCCCTTCCCATCCATCCCTCCTGCTTCCACCTCTTGCCGCAGGTGGGACAAACAGGTGTGTTCTAGAAGGCTAAGGAGGTCAGAAGACATGGAAGATGGGAACCAGGATTTGAATCATCCCCTATCTTTTGAATCTTGATGTAACTTTTCATTTTCACGTTTTAAGGCTGGACTTTTTTTAAAACCTCCAAGTTATTTTGTGCTCTTTGAGAAACACATTTCTTCCCTTGACGAGGGTGCTGTTTGTGTAAGGCCTAGCCTTGCTCACCACGGCGTCTCCCTTTTGGTCCCGAGCCTTTTGGTTCTTGGACCTCTCATTTCTGTGCACGTGTTAATGACTACCCAAACACAGAGCTTGAATGGAACTTGATGGGATATTAAAGCCCACCTCATGCCTTCCCTTTCCTTTGGGGAGGAATTCACCCAGACAGTGGAGATCTGGCCTGTTTAAAAATATCCAAGAAAGAAGTCTCTAGGACCTCCCTCTGCTGCTTTGGGCGGCTGTCCTATTCATTCCTCCTCCGCTCTGTCAGGGATCAGTAATGCAGCCTCTGTCCCATGAGGCCAGTGCAGGGCTGGACACTTGTGCAGGTATGAATGCGTGGCCAACCTCAGACTATCAGAAGTGTTGGGGCCTCTTGGGGCCCATAACTACCAAAGAAGGTGACCTGTGTGATAATCTCTCCAAGGAGATCCCCACAGAGGTTTAAAGGGTGGTAAACATGATTAGGAGCAAGGATTAAAAGAAATGGAACGATTAATACTTGGCCAAGAGCATGGCATGATACCACCCTAGCCCACCTCCCACTCCTGAAAATTGGTAGGAGATTAAAGCACCCCCCCCAGGCAAAGCCTCAAGTTTTCTGTATGTTTATATACCACTGGGGGTTAATTATTTTAATAGATCACAGTGGGTGCTTCCTGGCGAGGGACAGTTGGCAGTGGAGCAGGGATGGGGGGTGGGATCTGTATTGGGAAGAAATCTTTTGGTTATAACAGAAAACCCAATTACTTGTGTGCTGCTGGTGGGAATATAAAATGGGCAGCTGCTATGGAAAACAGTATGGCAAAAATTGAAGATAGAACTACCGTATGATCTAGCAATTCCACTTCTGGATATATACCCAAAAGAACTGAAAGCAGGGACTTAAACAGACACATGTATGCCCATGTTCATAGCAGCATTGCTCACGAGATAGTCAAAAGGTGGAAGCAACCCAATGTCCATCCACAGATGAATGGATAAACGCGACAGAATACTAATTAGCCTTCAAGAGGAAGAAAATTCTGACATATGCTACATGGGTGGATCTTGGAGACATTATGCTAAGTGAAAGAAGCCAGACACAGAAGGACAAAGAGTGTGTGATTCCACTTATCTGAGGTCCCTAGAGTAGTCAGACTCATAGAGACAACAAGCAGAATGTGGTTGCCAGGAGCTCGGGGCAGGGGAATGAGGAGTGGTTTAAGTGGGTATGGAGCTTCAGTGTGGGAGGATGAAAAGTGTTCTGGAGATGGGTGGTGGTGATGGTTGTACAACAATGTGAATGTACTTAGTGCCATTGGACTGTACATTTTTAAATTGTTATAATGGCAAATTTTGTCTCATATATACTTACCACAATTCTTCAAAAAAAAAAAAAGAAAAGAAAGAAAACCCAATTAAAATTAGTTTAAAAAGAAAGGAGAATGTTTGGGCTCACATTCCTATACAGTCCACATGTGGATCCAGCCTCAGGTACAGCAGGATTCAGGGCTCAAAAGGCTGCATAAAGGGTCTGCTTCTTGGCCCAGCTTCTTCCAGGTTCTTGGGCCGAGGGATGGCATCCGCCAGCTTCAGACTGACACCATCACAACACTTAGTTAAGCAGACTAGAGAAAGTTTTCTGGTAACTCCCCCACAAACTGAGGATTCATTCTCTTTTGCTCGTTCAAATTGAGGTACTTTCACCTCCATCCTCGTTTCCTGCCATCAGCCCTGTAAGCAGTTACAGAAATCAGGCCAAGGGTGGCCAAGGGTGTGAAATGCAGCGATAAGCTCAGGCCAAGGCCCTGCGCCCCCAACCTAGGGTGGAGGAATCAGCCACATGTTATCTTGTGCACCAAGAGAGGGGGAATGATGGTGTTCCCTAAAGCCAAATGGGGGTGCAGTTTCCAGTGAGAGAGAACAGGTGCTGGGCAGACAAGATGAAACAGATGTTCACATATCCGTTCATTCACCCGCTCATTCATCCAGCACTTCTCAGGTGCCCACTCCGGCTCAGCCACTGAGCTCAGTGGTGGACACAGGAGATTACCATGGCCAGGGCCTTCAGCCAGCCTTGGAGAAACGCGATCTTGTGCAAGGTGACAGACAAGCATACGGCATATGCATAGTGCAAAGTGATGAGTGTAAAAGCCACATAGAGTAAGCACCATTGTTCCGCAGCATTTAAGACCCACTTTCCTATTTGTCCTTCTGATTTCTCTGACAAGAGAACCTGCTTGTGGGTCTGGAGGAATTTAGCTTTAAAACGTGGCCCCAGGAGTCCTAATCATGAAAGAGCTCATCGAAGTCTTAAGTCTTGCCAAGCATTTAGTGAATGATTGCATTCATTTTGACTCACTTGAGTTGGCAGATTGCATTTGAGAAAAGGAAAAAAAAAATGTCCTGATATCTGTATTAGTTTTCTAGGGCAAACTAGGTGGCACAGAACAATGAAAATGTTTTGCTTCACAGTTGTGGAGGCTGGAGGTCTGAGATCAAGGTGTGTCGACAGGATTGATTCCTACTGAGGGCGGTGAGGGAGAATCTACCCCATGCTTCTCCCCTTCTCGGTTTTGGGAAATTTGCTGGCTATCCTTGGTGCTGCTTGGCTTGTAGACACATCACCCTGAATTCTGCCTTCATGTTCAGATGCTGTTCTCCCTGTGTGTGTATCTACCCCAAATTTCCCCTTTTTATAAGGATACTGGTCACACTGGATTCAGGGCCCACCCATCTTAACTAATGACATGATAGCAACCCTATTTCCAAATAAGGTCACATTCTGAGGTATTTGAGGTCAGGACTTCAACATATGAATTTGGGGGTGAAGGGATACAATGTAACCTATGCCAATATCTATCCCCTCTCTGCTCTGTCCTTTTTTCTGCATAGACTTGACAAACACCGTGATGGGGTAGGTAGAGGAAGAGGAGTTTCCCTCTGTGGTGTTATGTCAGAAACAGAACAGACCACATCTAGGATTGCCCTCAGCTGGTACTCATTGTCTTGAAAACATTTAGACGTTCCAAATAGGCACAAATCCTGATTACCAGGAGTGTTACTTTAAAAAGACAAACCATGTTTGGACCAACTATGCCAGGGGGTGGTCAGGGTTGGAAGTGCATGGAGGTGACACCCCAACACCAGGAGGAAAAGATTAAACTCCCTTGTCGATAAGGTCTTGCTCTACACATACAGTTGTAGAAATGTGCTTCGATGGATGCTATACTCGTATATAAGATACACACATTTTCCTTATAAAGCAGAAGAGCAGATAATACTTATGCTTTTAAAGATAAAAATCCATAAATAGAAGTTCTATTCATTTCTTCCCACAACCTTATGGGTTGTCTTGTATCACATCTGGGGTGCATTTCAAGACCAGCCCTTACATAACCCTTCTCCAATCAAACACACGTGCTTTCCCACCTCTGCTCATTTCGCCTGGCATTTGCCCTAGGCTCGAATGCCTTCCCCACCTCTCCTGCCCTGTCCCAAGGTCCAGCCAAGTCCCCGTTCCCAGAACATTCCCAGCTGATCCCACTCCTCTGATCAACAATAGTCCTCACCACATAAGCATCTCATGAGCCAGTTAATGCATAAAACTTATATTTCTTGTTTGCCAGTGTTTTTTAAGGTTGGACTCTTCTTATTTACTTTTTATGGTCTTATGCTTTGTCTTTCTCTAAGCTCATTGCTAGTTCCATAATACCCACTTTTTTAATCCATTGAAGAAATTACCCCTTTTAAAATTATGTTTTAAATTTCAAAATATTGCATAATAATAGAAAACATTTTGGAAAATAAAATCGTAGGAAAAAAACTAAAATCACTCACAGCGGCCCCCTAGCCTATGGGGCAAGGTGGGGGGCTCAAATCCAGCTTTCGCCCTGCTCACCAAAGTATGTGCCCTGCTATGGGCCTAAACTGTCACAGAGGAAGGGGTCCTCTTTCGTTGGGTGAAGGGGCTGCCCACCTGCTGAGCCACGTGCCTGTGGGCTGTCCATGTAGAGGTGATGCCTTCCTTAAGTGCACACACTCAGAGGGGATGCCTTTTCTAAATTGCACTAAGTGCCTCATAGGCTAGCAATGGCCTCATGCATGGATCTCCACCAAGTGCATACCCCACAGCTTGCTTAACCTTCCTCGCTTCGGTAGAGGGGCCAACTTTTCCAATGTGACTCTTTTTAGGGTCTAAGTTTTCTCTGAGACTATCTCCATACGTCCTTCTGGGAATTCAAAAACACAGTACCAAGAAGCTATCAGACTGGAAAATGTAATGTAGAATATGGAGACTAATAACTCTGGAATCTGAGTGTCACAAGCAAAAGACATTAGTACTGTTCTCTAAAAGGGCCAAGCAGCTACGGTTTCCATAGTTCATTTTCCAGTGCCACGTGAGGACAAGGCATGGAGGGCACTTGCTTTCGATAATCCCCTTTGACTCTGTTCTTGGAATTACAGAATGAGTGTGAGTGCAAGAAAGGATTTCGAGGAAATGGGATTGACTGTGAACCAATAACTACATGTCTGGAACAAACTGGAAAATGTCATCCATTGGTGAGTTACTTGACTTTTTTTTTTTTTTTTTTTTTTTTGGTTACTAACCAAAAAAAAAATGCTTAAGAAAGAAAGAAAATTAGGTTATTTCTTGTCCAGGCCCAGTAACAAACAAAATCTTTTACCTCCGAAGGGAGTCTCTAAGCAGAATGTGAGTAGCTATTGCATCTTTCACTTCATTCCAAGCTTGGAAGAACCATCATGTGATTGCCAGATAAAATACAGGATTCCTGGTTAAATTTTTATTTAAATAAATAACAAATAATCTTTCAACACAAGTCCCACATTTTGCATGAAGAGAAATTTGTACTAAAAATTACTCCTCATTTACCTAAAATTGAAATTTAACTGGGTACCCTATATTTTTATTTGCTAAACCTGACAACTCCAAACCAACAGGCCAGTTTAAAGGGTAACTGTACTCCTATCTTGAATGTCATAACATAGTTTTACCAAAATTATTGATGAAAATGCCCATTCAAGAGGAGCTTGTGCCTTGTTTCTAAATTTTGGAAGAGTAGAGAGAGGTATTAGAGCTGGTCATGTTCATGTTTTCAGAAGAACATCGCTAAGCACCAAACATCAGCACCAATGAAAATGACGCCTTAGTCACAGTGCTTTGGGTTACAAGTAACAGAATCCATGCAAATCAACTTAAGCAGAAAAGGAATTTGTTGGAAGTAGCCCTAAAGTAACTGTGGAAATCAAGAGACAGGAGGTACAGCTAGACTTCCCAAGGGCCCAGGACCAGGATGTGAAGACACCGGAATCACCAAGATCAGCAGCTTCTTTCCCCAAACTTCCAAGACGATGTGATGTCTCATTGTACTTCTCTGCATTTACTTCCCCTCTCTCTCCTAACTCTTAATGCTTCTCTGCACATCTTGGGGTAAATGGCTCCCCCACCACCAACAATGCCCACTAACTTATCAGCACCCTATATCCCAACTGAAAATCACAGGAGAAAGGATACTGCTGGCCCAATTGGGTCCTGGTGTCCTCATATGAGCCCGTCAATTACGGCCAGAGAGTGGGTTTGTTATGAACACAGTTTCCAGGGCCCACCCCCACATGTGTGTGGGGCAGGGGACAGTTCTCAGAGATGAAAAATCAGGGGGAGAGATACCCCCAAAGTATCTGTTCCCCAAGAATCACAAGAGCATTTTGCAAAGCTGAAGGAGCTCCAACACTCCTGCTTAATTTAAGCCCAACCAAGCCCTGACATTCCAAACGTGAGTAATTATTGCAACTTTCATTCCATTCCAAAGCTTGGAAGAATGAACTAGCATTGCCAGATAAAATACAGGACCCCAGCTGAATCTGAATTTCAGATACACAAGTATGTGCTGAATAATTTTTCACCACAACTATTCGCCAAATATCATTGCATGGGACAAACTTATACTAAAACTTATTCATCATTTATCTGAATTTCATATTTAACTGTGTGTCCTTTATTTTTATGTGCTATATCTGGCAGAGATGAAAAGAAAGAATTTAATTGTGATTAAGTAAGAGCTGCACCAAACATGTAAAGGGTCTATGGGTTACATCCACCGTCTTTCAGCCCCAAATTTGCAGCTCTCGCCTTAGATAGAGCCTGTTGTCTCACAGATATAACTCAGGTCTAACACTTCGTTTAGGAAAACAAGCTATTTCTTTTATCTTGGTTTTATCAGGCAAGCTGTCAGTTTACTTCTGGTGTCTGGAGCTGTGTTTGTCAAGAGGGCTACGAAGGAGATGGCCTCCTGTGCTATGGAAATGCAGCAGTGGTAAGTCATCTATGACAAACTCAAGTGCACCATGATAAAGACAAAACCCTTAAACTCTTAGCTAAGATGCCTTTAAAGTGCCCTATCAACAAATCATTTGCTGTAGGAGATTTTACGTGAAGCAAGCTGCTTTTTGCAGATGGCATACATGCTCTGTGGGTCACACATTATCTACAGACTGATGCAAGTTGACTTTTATTTGGCACCTTTTGTGTACCAAGCAGTCCTGATTTCTCTTTCTTACCACTCTACCTCTTTGCATTCCCAAACTTCCCGAGTGAGCAACTAACTGGCCTCTGCTGGGCTCTCTGGGCTCTTCTGTCTGGACCTCCTGTGGGTACTCAGAGCACCCTGTGCTTACCCCTATCTGTGTGTGTGAGTGTGTGTGAGTGTGTGTATGTGTACACCTTCTGTGTACCAGCCATCTTGCTAAGTCCTTATCATGCAGTAATGACCCATTTAAACCTCATGACAACCCTCTAAGATTGATGCTATTATTATGCCCATTGTACAGATGCGGCAACTGAAAGGCTAAGCAAATCTGTCCAAAGTCCTTCAGCTCTAGAGTGAGGAATCCAGCCCATAGCTGTCTAAGTGCAAAGCCCAGACACTCAACCACCAGTGTAGAGTACTCTATCCACAGAGTATGGGTCACACCAAATCATCATGATACCTCCATTTGTCTCTTGCAACCATAAACTCTTGAGGGAAGATCTTCGTCTTATTTCCTGTGTCGTTCCCATTGCTTATAAATGTTTGTCAAAATGAGAGATAAAGTCAACTGACAAATTTTCTCATCACTTACTTTTTGTTCAGCTCACTGCAGTTTGGTTTCTGCCTCCTCTCAGCTGAAACAACAGATCTAA